TACTGGGTCCCATCACCCCCTTGCACAGAACCCAGCCACGGTTTCCCTCTGTTCTGGGCATAAAATCTGAGCTGTCATTGTGTGAGCGCCCGCTGGGACCTGCACAGGGCAGAAAGCAGATTGAACAGTAGCTGCTTCAAAGTCAACATGTGCAGCGGTTCCCACCCCCCACCCCCTTTCTAGTCCTCCCAGTCTGTTCCCCAGCCCCACACCTAAATCCTAGCCGACTTCTTTCTCTCTCCCTCTCTTCCCAGCATCGGGAAGACCCCTAGGCCTGGCCATGGCCCTTTCTGACCCCCCCACCCCCCCGCTAGGGTCCCTCAGCTCGTTCCTTCCTCTCCAGGGTCTCTCCCTCCTTTGCCTTCTATTCCCTCCTCCACTCCTGGGGAGAAAGCCCCTGCCCAAAGCCTTGGTCTCCTCATTTGCCCAACTGAACGCTTCCCATGGACCCTCCTCTCTGCCACATCGGGCTGGTCTGCCTGGGGCAGGGTCCCTGTCCTGTCCCTTGGAGATTCCACATCCGCTCTGCCCCCTTCAGGAAGCACTCCTCGGCATCCACGTACCCTGGGCAGGTGGCAGCCATCTCTGTGCCTACCTGTGGAATGACACAGTGTCCGCCCTCCTTATCTTTGAAAGGAGGTGAATGGAAGGCAAGAAGCCTGCAGTGATTTAGGTTGGGATCATGGGGAGCCAGAGCCACCCCAAAGCTGCCCCTGGTTCCTGGGCCACTGCAACTAGGGAGGGCTGACCTTCAACCCCTCTCATCCCCACCATCCCATCACACACACACACACACACACACACACACACACACACACACACGCACGCAGATGATGCTGGGCTATTTCTAATCCAGATGCAACGTAATCAGGGGATACCTCTCTGCTTTGGGTTCATATATCCTACAGAGGAAGTTTAGGGAGAGTTTTAGAGAATCATGAGCTTCTGTAAACTGAGGCTTAAGAGGGGCTCCCTTCTTCACTCCCTCCCTCCCACCCTCTCTCTGCAAACATTACTTGAGCTCCAATTCTGTACCAGGGACCTTGCAGGGGGCCTTCCATACACTGACTACGGGAACTGCACCCTTGCAGGTAGGGGCACCGGCTGAGCAGGCCTGGGCTGCTCTGACCCAGACAAGAGCAGGAATGGAGTGCTCCCCCCAACAGAGGTCGCAGCTGGGCCCCAGGACACCTGAGAAAGGACAGTTCTGACTTGTCAGGGCTGGCAGCCCTCTGGCTTGGAGACTTGGAGAGTGAAGAAGGGCAGGCCAGGATGGAGCTGGGATTCCTTCCCGCCCATCCCTTCACCTGACCTCTAAGGCTTGATTTGGTGCTGGTTTCAGCCCGGTTGACCAAAGGCAGGCATAGGGCAGCCTGGCCCCTCAGTCTTCTCCTGGTGAAATGTCCCCTGTCGCCTGGCCCCAGTGCCTGGAGGCTGAGGGCAAGGCACCCTCCAGGTGGCCCTCCTCCCCAGGCTGCGCTCTTGGCCACCCCACCCTTGTTGCTGTCCTACAGCCCTTCCTTCTGCCCCTCGCAGGAGGGCCACCGCTACACCTGCTGTTGTAACGCACTCACACCCTGGTGACATCGCTTTTCCAATTAAACACTCAAAGGTGAAAAGCAGGGATGACGAGAGCAGCCTTGGCCCTGAGCCCGCGGCCAGGTGTAGGTGCATCGCCCCAGCCCCAGGAATCCTCCCACTCAAGGTCTCCAAGTGAAGTCCTCAGCCACCCTGCCCACCCTGTGTGTGCTCATGTCTCCTTCCTTCCCTTCCTCCCTTCCTCCCTTCCTCCCTTCCTCCCTTCCTCCCTCCCTCCCTCCCTCCCTCCCTCCCTCCCTCCCTTCCTTCCTTCCTTCCTTCCTTCCTCCCTTCCTTCCTCTCTAGGATGGGTGCCCTTGGGCCCAGCACTTTCGTAATAATAAGATGAGGGTTAGCACTCTATAGGGCTAACGAGGGCCGGGCCTGCTCTAAGTGTTACAAGTATTACATAATTTCATCCATATGGCAGCCACAGGGGTGGTGCCATCACTCCCCCATTTCCCAGATGGACAGCTAAGCATAGAGAAGTTGGGAGTTCACTTAGAGCCGCACGGCCAGGCAGTGGTTGATCGGGGTGAGGACCAGGCACTCTGGCTCCAAGAGCTGTGCTCTCACCCACGAACTGCACTGCGGCACCCACAGACACATCAACCTCACACAGGGGAGTGTCCGTGACTTCTTCCCCGCACTGACGCCGCCTCTGCAGTGTCTCATGACCCTGCCTCTGCCTCATCTTCCCCGCACTGCTCCCGCTCTGGTTGGACGGTCTGGGGCAGAGCGCTGGGCCTCTGGTCGTCCCTTGCTGTCTCAGGTTCCCTCCCCCTGATCGTCCACCTCACTGCCATAGAAATATGGGCCTATTGCTCCTCTGACTCAATCCCTAAACGGTCCCCACCTTCTCCCCTCTTATCTCTGACTGCCCCAGTCTTCTCTCTCTCTCTCTCCACCGTGTGCTGGTGTGGTACTCATGAACCTATGGGGTTTCTTCTGCTTTGAGCCCTTCGTATGTGCTGTTCCCTCTGCTTGGAGTGCCTTTCCGCTCTTCATCCTGGTGACCGATGGTATCAAGGCTCAGCCCAACTCAGCATCCCCTTCTCTGGGAAGCCTTTGCTGACCAGCCACCCACTCTGCCTGGCAGGACAATCACTGCCAGATGCAAGCTTGGGAGGCCCGAGCCCCCATGGGAGTCCAGGCCTCTAGGGCTGCCACGCTGAAGACATCACACCACAGGGCTACACACATGGAACAGGTGTCTGAGGAGCCCCCTGGCTGTTTGAGTCTCCCCAGCCCGGGAACCAGTCATGCGGGTGACTGGCTGGAGGTAACTGTCCACCCTGTGAGCTGGCCAAGCCAATGCCAAGCTGGGGACATGCTGGCTCTGCTGAGCCCTGACCACACTGCAGAATCGTGACCAAAAGAAACGTTGTTGTTTCAAACACACGTGTGGTGGGCGATTTGTGATACAGCAGTAGATAACCATTTCACCTCTATCTCTAGCTCCACCATGACTTATATTTATATCTATATCTTGTCACACTTCCTCCACCTAACAACATATAGCGGTCATCTTTTATGTCTAGCAATGAATATATACTTCATTATTTTGAATGGGCTGCAAAGTCTTTCATTGTATGGCTTTATCACACTTTCTATAATTACACTAGTGGCCCTGCGCACGAATCCGTGCGTGAGTAGCCCGCTGCCGCTTCCCTCAGCTGGCCCCGCCCACCGCTGCTGGTGGCTCTCTGACGCTCAGAGCTCGATGCCCCGCCCTCCTGTAGCTCTCCGTGGCTTGTCGATTGGTCGTGAGGTTACGGCATCCTGGCTAATTTGCATATTCCTCTATTACATTAGATCTTACTATAGATGTTTAGTTTGATTTCATTTCATTGCTGCTCCAAACAACATTGTATGCATATTCTGGAACAGCATTCGGTATAACTGCGGGAGGACTTCCTCAGGATAATTCCCAGGAGACGCTGGGTTAAAAGGTAAAGGCTTTGGTACAGACAAAAGTCCATCCTCCTCCCTGGCTTCTCCTGGGTCTGTGGCCACACCCCCTCCTCCTCCTTCACCCCTGCTGTGGCAGAGGGAGGCCCTCCACTGCTGGTAGCCGGGTTCTCCCCTGGATCCCATCTGGTCCTACTCATGGCTGGGATGATTCGGTTCTCCCTGCTCTCATCTGCAGCATCAGTTTCCCCCTCCTGACTGACTTATTCCCATCAGCATGCAGCCATGCTCTAGGACCTTCCGCTGTCTTTATCCCTGGCCCTATATTACCTTCCATCACTGCCCCACATTCACCACTGGACTACTAGAAAGAATTGTTTTTATGCCAGGCCCAAAGGAAGAAATAGATAAATCCACAAGAATAATGGGGAGATTTAAAAAAACATACTTCAATCCGTAACCAATAGACTATAGAAAAGATCTAGACTATTTGAGCAACCACAGGATACATATTCCTTTGAAGTGCACATGAAGCCTTAATCAGAACGGACCACCTATTCACCCAGGAAGCGGCCCCCTGCCCCGGGGTTTCAAAGGACTGAAACCCAACAGAGCATGCTCTCTGGCCCCAGGAGACGTAGGCTAAACATTAGCTTCAAAGCACAACTAGAAACCCCCAGCGCTTGGAAGTTAAACAACACATCTCAGTAACCCACAGGGCGGTCAAGACATCTCAAGGAAAATAAGAAGGTATTTTAAACTCAATGGTAATAAAAAATATGACCTATCAAAATCTGTGGATGCAACTAAAGCCGTAATTAGAAAAGTATAGCCATAAATACGTGTGTATGGGGGGGGGGGCAGTTCAACTCACTTTCACACCCCAGGAAGGCAGCCTGTCCTGGACCTCAGGTGAGGGACCCCGGACCTCCTCTGTTCCCGCACCCCCACCCCCACCCCCACCCCACCTGGAACAGAGAGAGTGTGATTTTGTGATTCCCGTGACATCTTCAAATCCGTTTCCAAATGCTGGGGAAAGCGGAGGCAGTCCTGACGTCCGCTCTTTGCGGTGATATTTACCTGCAAATGCGACAGAGGCAGATGCCAGTCTAAGCGCACACAACCAGCAACTTCACCCGCTTCTCCACGGCCTCAGCGGCGCCCCCGGCGCCCCCACACCGGGGTGCTAAGCCGCCTGCCGGTCCCACCTGGAGACCCAACACCGTCCTTAATTAAGTTCTTTTCCGACGGACGCCAGGTGCGTCCTTCCGCGGGACCGTGTTAATCCCAGCCTCCGGGGCGGAGATCCAGCCCCCTTTCCGGACACGCCTGCCCTCGCGCTCAGCTCCTACCTGGAAACGCCCCTCCCGCGTCCCCCGGCCCCCCTTCCCAGGGCCGGGGGAGTTGCTTGTTACGCTGCCCTGCCGGGAAATTCACCTCCAGCGCCCACTCTATAAACCCCTATAAAAGGACCAGGAGAGCGACCGGGACCAGGCGGGGAGGAGGAGAAAGGAAGGGAAAGAAGCGACCCCTCCGGAGAGCATCCTCGCTCGGGCGCAGCCTCCCCGCGACAGGTAAGGGCGCAGCGGCGCGGAGCCTCACTCTTCCCCCGGGACTCAGGCCCCGGCAACTCGGGGTGCTCTCGCCCGCGGTCCCGGTCCCGAGTTCTTCGAAAAGTTTCTGTACTGGGTGCGGCGCGGGAAGCCTCGGGCAGCGGGCAGCCTCGGAGCGGCGAGGACCAGCCTCCGGGCTGTGGGCCAACCGTGCGCCGCTGAGCCGTGCCTCCCCGGAGCTGGCGGCCGCCGCGTCTCTCCCCCACCCCCTCCCGGGGAGTGGGGCTGCCAGGACCCCTGAGACTCCTACCGCCTTCTGGGGAGATCTCGGGAGAGCCAGTGTTAGGGCACCTCTTCCTCCTGAGTTTCTGGGTAGATGTCACTACAAAGATACCATATATTCCAGTGTAAATTAACGTTGAAAACGGGGGCAGGAGAGCAAAGGCTAAAAGTCGCAAAAACTCCCTGTATCTCAGACTTTTTTGGATGCAGACCCTTGAACGCTCGTCTTTCTGCCCATCTTAGCGCACCCGACGGGGCTGCGCGCTGATAATGGCTCTGTCTCCTCTGCAAGACCCAGCAGCTGGGTTTAAAGAGGTGGCCCCGGAGCTGTCCGAGGTGCTGAACAACCCTGTCTGCGAGCGCAAAGGGACCGCAGAGTGGAGGACCTTTGTCCCCCAGACCCTAGACTGCAGGGCGGAAGCGGCCGTTTGAGCTGGGCCAAGGCTCAGGCAAGGGCGGCTTCCAGCGAAGGAGGGAGAGTCTACAGGGTACCTGGATCCCCCATTTTCTTGGTGTCTAAACGGGGAGGTAGTGATGCTCACAGACTGGCTGGAAAGAGCCAAGGAAGGTAAAAGTGTGTAGTTATCAATGGTTGAGATATGTTCAGATTAAGGCTTATTTAGTGACAATAATCCATTGACACTTCTGTTTTAGGACTTGTCCCATATGTATCTCGGTGCAAGGACAAAACTCTGCACCTCTCACGTTTACAGAAAGGCATGGCCAACGTGCAGCTTTACAGGAACACGGCGTCTTGTTTAGCTCACAGAGAACTCGCCTGCACATGTGAGCTTCTAACAGGTGTAACTATTATAAAGCTAATGTTAAGATGAACAAAACACAGACTTCTATTTATTTTTTTCCAAGGCTTTCAAAAATCTCTCCCTACTTACAGAAAGCACAATACTTGACATCTCCCCATTACTATATTGATTTTTAAAAAATGGCATAAGGCAATATTGATTCACTGTAGAAAAATTAAGACTACATACAAGTAAAAAGAAAAAAATCTAGCGTTTTAGCAGCGGAATGGAGCTTGGAGAGGGTGGGAAGTGACCATGTGTGCAACGCCGTGGGTGGGGCAGAAGGTAAGAAAATGCTCTCAGAAGCCTGCAATCATGAGGCAGGTTTTTAGAAAATGGAAATCGCTCTAGAATGGCCAATTTTGAGGAGAATTAAAATAAAGTTGAGGGACCTGTCAGGCCTATCTGATTTTACTTCTTTCTCTACACATATGATATTTTACACTTGCCACAGTGATTATATGATTATCATTTTTCTGCTTTTCTTGTAAATCTGAGCATTTACAAGTGTGTTGTGTGGTCTCAGAGCTTTAGTGTAAATTGTCTTGTCCGCCAAGTTTAGACTTCATACTTGAACTAGAGCATCAGAAGGCTGTAACAGGAGCAGCCTGTCCCTGCTCACCAGTGGACATCAAGGTTGACCAATGCTCTCCCAGTTGCCTGGAATGCTGACGGGCCGGCTCGCTGACTGCCAGCGCCATCTAATGGCTGCTCTGAGAACGTTCAGGCAGTACCTGGCCACCCTGAGCTGGCTCTGCTTTTGGGAAAATAAGTAGGGGTGGGGCAGGGAGAAGGCAGTGGCTTTCTGAAGTAGACAATGAGAGCCAGGGAGAACTTTCACTTCCAAAGCCTTCCCTGTAAAAAGATCTGGTCCACGCCTCCACAAATGAGAGGTTCCTTTCAGGCAAACGTTTTAAAATGCACATGTCCATTACGGGAGACAATCAATTAGTCATCCTCGCCTTAATGTAAATTACTTTTCTCATCTAATTAGGTTTCTTCCTAACAGCTGGGTGAGAAGATCTTCTGAAATACAAAATGACTGTGGGGTTGGTGGTGAGCTGATGACAGAACTTAGGGCCACTTCAAGGGGCCAACCTGGGTGAGGAGGGACTTGGCAGCATGAGACCTACAGGGTCGGGGAAAGCACTGGGCACAAGGGGCCAAAGGCAGCATCAGGCAGCATCCTATACCCTGACCTCTTGACCTCAGCATCTGCAGAGAGATACTTGGAAGTATCTTTTGTAGGTTCTCACAATGGCAGGCCATTCCCTTCGCTCTGTGTGTCCGTCTCGTTCCCTTCTACACCTACAGCATGTTCAACTCCAGCTATTTCAGATGACATCTGAGAGAATCGGAGGTCAAGAGGTCTGACTTGTAATGTGTTCAGAAGATGACTCACTTTTAAAAGAATGGGGGCTGCTTTAAAAATCTCTCCAAAGTTGCAGGGGGATTTGTGTACAGGGCAACAAACTGGGTTGGCTGAGGTTTTGGCTAAATTGGCCAGCGGTTTTATTTGCCTTTATGCAAACCTACTATTCACAGAAAATAGAGTTTCTGGGGAATGGTAGGATGTTGGTGGGGGAGAGGAGGAAGAGACCCCCTTGAGCAGGAGTTTCTGAGCCCTTGTCTTTCCCCAGTTACTCCTTGGATCTAGAGTGTTAGAACAGTGGCTGCATGAAGGTGGTGCATAGGAAGGCTCTGTGCTATAAACAGAACGTAGCCTTACCTTGTCATGCAAACCCAAGTTATTGTCTCTCTGGGCTTCACATAAGAGGCTAAGTATATAAGATTATTTTAAAAGGAATAAGTTGGGAGCTAAAAGATTGAAAATGTAGGCTCAGTTGTGGAGCAATTGTTATTACTATTATTAGTATTATTTTAATGCAATATCTCTAAATAGCTTAAATGGAGTGAGCTTCCATACAAGAAGACAGGAAGTAAAAATAATCCTCCAAGGAGGGGAGGAAGCACTTCCGGGAAGTGGATCTGGTCCACAATTTCTGCTTGCTTATCTTTGCTTCCTGTCTTCTTGTATGGAGACCTCACTCCATGTAAGCTATTTAGAGATACTGCCATTAACATCATACTCAAATAAGAGGCTAAACCAAATGACCCCTAAATAGCTTCCAGTGCTAACCTTCTTTGGGGTCTGATTTTTAATAAGAGATAAAGGGAAATTGCACGTTTTGCCGAGGTCCTATTCGCCCAGTCTCTAGCACAACTCATACCACCTCCCCGCACACCAACCTTCTCCTTGAACTGCTCCTGTCCTTAAAAAGCCTTGAGGTTCACAAATGATTAAAATGATCGTGTTGTTAATGTTGGCTCCAGGTCCTCCCTGGTGAGTGGCCAACATTGTTCTGCTCCTTGCAGGGGTCCCGCCGATCTTGTTTGCCTCAGCAGAGCCTCCGTCTGCCGGGAAAATGCCTAGATCATGCTGCAGCCGCTCGGGGGCCCTACTGCTTGCCCTGCTGCTTCAGGCCTTCATGGAAGTGCGTGGCTGGTGTCTGGAGAGCAGCCAGTGTCAGGACCTCACCTCGGAAAGTAACCTGCTGGTACGTGGGCCACAGCTGTCATCTTGGTTTGGGAGTCAGATGGTGGAACTGGGGCCGGGGCTGGGACAGCACAAAAGAAAGCGCGATGGGCAAGGGGAAATTCATTCCCAGAGATAACTGGGTACCTCAGCCCAGGCCAGGAGCAGACCCCAGGGCGACGTCAGCATTGGACCAAGAAGGGGAGGAAGCGCTTCAGGGAGATGGGTCTGGTCCACCATTTCTGTTCAGTTATCTCCGCTTCTTGTATGGGGACCTCACTCGATGTAAGCTATTTAGGGATACTGCCATTAAAATAATATGACTACTAATAATAGTGATAACAATAACCGCTCCTCGATTGAGCCTGTATTTTCAATCTTTTAGCTCCCAAGTTATTCCTTTTAAAATAACCTCCTCATATACTTTGCCATTTCATTCCATTTTTCTTCCCTTTCTATCTACCACCAGTTACAAAGCCAGCTAGGCAGTTCCTCAAATCATCTCTAGAGGGAGGAAAACCCAGGTGCCATTTTCCTCTAACGGGTGCCAAGTGTCTCATCCTTCTTCTGGGAGACACAGGCTTTCCAGAAGCATGTAAAGGTCCTTTGTGCCAGGTTGGAATTCCCTCCAGGTCAACACAGTGCGTGTGTGTGTGTGTGTGTGTGTGTGTGCGCGCGCGCGCGCACCTGTGCACACTTGCGTGTTTTGGGAAGCACAAGTGAGAAATGATAGCAAGTCAAAGACTAAAAGACATGCTGCTGGTGTCAGTGACTGAGTTCCGTCCTGCTGCAGCACCTGCCGGGTGAAGGCGGAATGCATATCACTACATTCAGGGTGTTTTGCCAATGGAAACACTGAGTTAAGATAAGAGAGAGACTTTCTCAAAAGCACAAACGAAGTTGTATGTGGCACATAAAATAGAAAAAAGAGCCCAGGGAAGTCTGAGAGTTCCAGTTCAGAGGGACCCAAGAGACTCGGGGTTGGAGATACCCACTGCACAGCCTCTCCCATTGACAGCTCATGAGGGAAGGGGCACTGGTTATGGTCAGACCCATGGGTTCTAGTCCCAGTTCTGTCACCAGTGAGCTGTAGAACCTTGCCAAGGACTTTCCACCTCTCTGAGCCTCCTGTTTCATGTGTCCAGAGGAGTATGTGGTCATTTTTACTTTCCCATTAATATTCTGCATAAAATTCCCAACTCAACAGAGTGGGTGGGAGCCCTCTGTTTCCTCCTTTGCAGTTCTGAGTAACTGAAAGCTCAAGGCCGCAGGCTATAGGCCATTGCCCTAAGTAAACGTGTACCACAGTCCACTTGTCTAGTTTCAAAGAGCAGAGACATGGGCTCCATGGCCCCTGCAACAGAAATAATCCCGCCCCCCCCCCCGCCCCCCCAGTCAGAATGAGGTGGCAGGGAAATGAAGCACCCCTTCCAAAGCTGCCGATTGGAGAAAGCACAGGGTCAGCACAGGAGACTTGAAGGAACCAGAGAAAGTGCCAGATGGGCGAGGGTAGGAGGAGATGGCTTGGGGTGGGGGGTGGGGGGTAGGGCATGAGGTAGGTGTGCAGATCACTGGGGTAAGGTCGCGGCATTGCTGAAAACACAGGCCCTGGAAGTCAGATTTCTACTTTTGACACCTGGGGAGATTCTCCTTCTCATTTCAGCCCAGTGCCCCATCCAGATTCATACTGAGCCATATTTATTTATTCAATGTTTATTAAGTGCCAACAACTACCACCCGCCTGCCATTGATTGATTAATGCCTATATATGAGGCATATAACGGTAAGGCCCTGCGCATGGGGTGTGCGTTGTAGTTACGGGGCAGAAATACTAAGGTGTCCGGGGGACAAAAGACGATGCCCAGCTGTGTCTTAGATGCCCGTGGATGCCCAGAGGACGGGATGGGCAGGCGCCCTGGCAGGGAGACCATCCCGCAGGGAGGCGGACACGTGGGGAGGGCCGCAGGCGGAGGGCGCAGGCGCAGGCGCAGTGCAGGGCGGGCCATCGGGGCGCTCCGTGACTCACGCGCTCGCTCTCCCGCAGGCCTGCATTCGGGCCTGCAAGTCCGACCTCTCGGCCGAGACGCCCGTGTTTCCCGGGAACGGCGAGGAACAGCTGCTGGCCGAGAACCCCCGGAAGTACGTCATGGGCCACTTCCGCTGGGACCGCTTCGGCCGCAGCGGCAACGACAGCAGCGGGGCCGGCGCGGGCCCGGAACGCACGGAGGAGACGGTGGCCGCGGGCGACGGCGGCCTCGGGCCCCGCGGCGATGGCGCCGGGCCGGGCCCGCGCGAGGGCAAGCGCTCCTACTCCATGGAGCACTTCCGCTGGGGCAAGCCGGTGGGCAAGAAGCGGCGCCCGGTGAAGGTGTACCCCAACGGCGCCGAGGACGAGTCGGCCGAGGCCTTCCCCGTCGAGTTCAAGCGGGAGCGGCCCGAGCCGGCGCTCCGCCCCGAGAGCGCAGCCCAGGGCGAGGCGGCCTCCACCGACCTGGAGTACGGCCTGGGGGCGGAGGCCGAGGCCCCGCGGGCGCTGAAGAAGGACGAGGGGCCCTACAAGATGGAGCACTTCCGCTGGGGCAGCCCGCCCAAGGACAAGCGCTACGGCGGCTTCATGACCTCGGAGAAGAGCCAGACGCCCCTGGTGACGCTGTTCAAAAACGCCATCATCAAGAACGCCCACCGGAAGGGCCAGTGAGGGCGCCGCGGGGCCGGGCCCTCTCCCGGAAGGCGGCCCCTGAGCCCCCTTTCGTGGGCCGGGGCCTCCCAGCCTGGCTGGGCTCCCGGTTCCCGGCTCCCGGCTCCGGCGGTGGGCGCGGCACCCGGCCTGTTAGAGATGCCTGTAGTTAGGAAATAAAGCCTTGCAAGTTGCACATCTGCCTCTGCCTGTGAATGGTGACCCAGGGAATGAAATAACACATCCAGCCCTGGCGGGCGCCCACTGAAGGGTCCAGGGTTCGATTCCCGTCGGGAGCACATGCCCGGGTTTGCGGGCTCCTTCCCCGTAGGGGACGCGCAGGAGGCAGCTGATCAGTGATTCTCTCTCATCATTGATGTTTCTCTCTCTCTCTCTTCCTCTCTGAATGTTTAAGATTATATATATATTATATATATATATCACATATCCATCAAATAGGAGCACACAGTGGAGGAGAGGCGGGGTGGTCTCCATGTAACCCAGCGGCAGTATACTCACAGGCAGAGCTGCGATGGAAAGGAAATGTACTTTCCTGTCCCCTCAGTAAATGCGTCCACAAGGGACCAGGTAGTTGGATGGCTCAGGGTGGCTACATTTGCCACCCTTCGTTGGGTGGGAAAACTGCTCAGCTAGAAGGTGCACCCAAAGGCAGGATTCCGGCAGAAGTGACCCTACAGGAGTAACGCTGCACCTGTCCAAGGGCCAGGCCGACACTGAACCTCAAGGGCAGGGGAAGGGCTCTCTGGGCCGTCAGGTGGGTGGGAGGGTGTGGTAATGTCCCCTGGATCCAGCTACCTGTGCGACCTCAGGCAAGTCTCCGAACGCCAAGATTGAGTTCCTCTTCCCCTCCCTCCCTAGTGTGAGGGCTATTGTGCAGATTAAGAAATGAATGTGATTATCTTTTTATCACTGAGAAGCTAAGTGTGAGTGCTGACGGATGGTATCAGTTAAAATGTGCACACCGAGATACAAACATTCTCACACACATGGTCTCACCCACCCCGGCACGCACCCACGGAGACACATCTGTATAAATACAAGGCAATATACACGGATACTTATTCCAGTCCCAGGGGCTCAAGCCTTGGGATCTCTTTCTTTTCCCCCAGCTATGTCCACATTCTCTCCCCATGATGTTGCCCAACCCAAACCCTTCTCACCATTCTGTGCTCCGGCCTACACTACTGTAACAGCTTCCAACCAACTTCTCCTTGTCTCCTGTTGCTCTCCTCCCAACCCATCAGATACAAATTCTTCATAGTAATGTATACAAAATCTTCATTCATTGGCTCAAGAGCTAAAAAGAAAGTTGTCCCACCCCAATTTTCCATCAGTTCCAAACTGCAGGGCATGGCATGCTGGGCCCTTGTCAATGAAATTCACACTCCTTACTGAACCCTACTTCCCATGTTCCCACCTACTGATCTCTCTCCCCTCCCATCCTCCTTCAGCCTCTACTTGAAATTCCCCATCTTCTCCCACCACTTGGAGTGTTACCCCATTTTCAACATGAGCCCAGGCTCAAGTCCACTTCCACTGGGAAAGTTGTGATCTCTTCCAGCCACACCTGCTCATTTTCAGTGTTTCTGCAGTCAGCCCTCTTCAGTGGAAGGCATGCAGTTTGGCTTGGATGGCAATTTTCTTGCTGTAGGTATGTCGTGTGCTCTCCTCAGGGAAACCCAACCTCCACTAGCGCAGAGGTCATGGCTGGGTTTCTTTTATATGTCCCCATGATGTCTGCACAATGCTGGAGCCAAACACATTTCCAATTCACAAGAGACTCGCAGATACTGACACATACACACACACACACGTATGCATACATGTCAACTGCATTAGACATACCAATGGGTGGTATAGATCAAAGTGGCTGGGAAACATTTGTGTATGGCACTTACACATATTATGTTGATGATCTAGGAGTTCACAATGAAAGCAAACCGGAATGCCCTGATGTAAGAGGAATCAGAAAGCCAGATTGCGAAGATAAAGTCTCGTCCACTGTAATGAAGAAATGGCCCACACCTTCCCATCAGGGGATGCTCCCATGCTGGGAATCCTCATGTTTACATCTTGGTAGCATCCTTCTCCCCTCCGCTCTTTCCTTTTCAAGCAAGGGAAGTAATGGCATGTGGTGGTGGCTAAATGTTAGTGGTTAATGTTGGTATTTTCAGATCCTGTTTGCATCTCAAAAAACCATTTACTTTAAAGAAATCAAAGAGACAACCATGTGGTGACAACATTAACATTTATTTGAAAAGGGCATCATAAGGCTCATTGGGAAATCACAACTAGGAGTCCTAAAGAAGGATCTTGCTAAGAGTCCTTCTTCCTACACTCCCCGCCCACCCCCCTCCTCTTTTCCCTTCCTTAAAACTAATTTCACTCAATGAGTTTAAAATACAGAAAACTGCCACAGGCACTAATTCTGCACTTCCATATAAATACATCAGCTATTATATACATATATCGTCTACTAGGAACTACATTACACACATGCACACAGACGGGCACACACACTTTCAGCTGGGTCATGAAGTTCTAAATGGACACAGACATGCTATAATGTGTGGGCTGCAGCATTTGTGGAGTTACAGCTCTGTACCCCACAGGCCAGAATTAACAGTCATGGAGGAAGAGCTCAAAAGGGGAAGATGATGAGGCCCTAAGGTCTCCAGGAGGAGAGTGCTGGTCAACCTGGCTGGTGCTAAAAGAGAGCCTGGAAATCTGCCTTCTGACCCCAACAGCCCCCGGGCCCCAGCCACTGCCCCTGTGTCTTTTCCCCATTTCCCCAGCTGGCCAGGTCCATATTGACCATCCTCTCCAGTCTTCAGATGTGGTTAGCTTTCTAAGGTGAATAGGACGAAGAAGCAACACACTGCCCCAGACGTGAGGATGATGTCTTGTTTCAGCACAACCTCCTGCCAGGCCTATGGGTGAGCGAAGTGGGCGTGGCCTGCCCAAATGAGCTGATCTCCTTGTCTACCTTCAATCTTTTTTAAAAAATTATATATATATTGATTTCAGAGATGAAGGGAGAGGGAGTTAGAAACATCAATGATGAGAGAGAATCATTGATCGGCTGCCTCCTGCAAGCCTGCTACTGGGGATCGAGCCTGCAACCTGGACATGTGTCCTTGACCAGAATCAAACCTGGGACCCTTCAGTCCACAGTCCCATGCTCTATCTACTGAGCCGAACTGGCTAGGGCTACCTTCAATCTTAATATTCAGATAACAGCTCAGGTCTTGTCCTTCCCCACAGGCGCTCAGCCAGTGTAATGCCATGTCATGGTTATGAAGAGAAATTGGGGGAAACAGCCTCATTTCTCATTGACACTCCCTGTGCCCAGGTCGGAAGGACTGGGGACAATGAAATAGCAACTGGAAGGTATCATGATCCAGAGGCCCCCAGGGAAGCCCAGCGGTCTGGCCTTTGAGCCACTTAAAGGTACCCCAAGGCTGTTCTAGTTCTTAAGCCAGTTGAAACATGTTCTCTGGGACCCAGAACATCGAGGGCAAAGGGCAGCGCATATGTGACATCACGCTTCTTCAAGCACGTTAGTCGGTCCCCGCCCCACCTTTTCTCTGCTCGTCTGTGTATACTTGTGTCTGAGATGGAGGGCTGCAGAGAGGAGTATCTGGGGACGTTCCTAATGCTTCTTCTTCCCTCCTTGGGTTCCTTCTCCGGAGAGGAGGCATTTAGGAGTCAAGAAACCACTTATTTCTTCTTTCCGGGGGAGGAAGATGAAGACAGGCACTGGGGACCCCACTGCAAGGAAGACAGGAGGAGCCTCCAGGATCACATGGGTGCTTCCTGCTAACCTGCTGCTTATGCCTGGACATGACTCAACTAAACGAACAGAACTTTCAAATGTCAAATATGTTCCCGCCCATTCAGTTATGTCTGCAGGGTGCTAACCAAACCGACCCCTTGCCCAGGAGGCAAGAGTCCTCAGTGGCTTTGGGGAGCAGCTGGCTCAAAATCACAATAGACAAGGGTGGCAGAAAGGGTTGGTCACAAGACACAGTGCTGCCAGATGCTACGGGGCTTGGAAGGCAGGAAGCAGTGATGGCTGCTAAGCCCAGGGCCTGGGCGCCCACCAAACTGCTTGGCATCCATTCCCAGGGTTTGTGGAGGGGAACATGGGTAGGGGTGAAGGAGGACTGCTTAATTTATCGTTGCATGGTCTGTCTGAGTCAACACTCACCTTAAACTTTCTGATTCCGAGGCATACCAGTACTTGGCCAGAACCCAGGTTCTACCTCCTGGCAGCAGGCAGCCTAATATCCTACTGAGTGTAAGTTGAAATTGAATCTGGGAAGACAGCACTCAAAAACATGGCAGTTCTCTAAAAGAATCACGTCTTTGCTATGCAGCTGTGATGGAAAGAAAAGGCTGCTTCGGACAGAGAAGAGGAAGGAGCAGCTGAGTGTGTGAAGAATGGGAACCTTGCACCTTCTTCTGCACCCTGTTCCCAGGGAGGGCTGGAGAGGGACAGGGCGACGTCTGAGGGGACCTGCAGGTCTCTGGTCCTAGTGCTAGCTCTAGAAAGAGGCTCCAGGGCCCTGCCTCCCACATCCCAGAACCAGGGACCAAGGGCAGTGCTCAGGGTGCAGTTGCTCTGGGGGTGGACCCTAAAGTCAAGGAGGCACAAGAAAGAAAGAGAGTTCCTCATCAAAGCCGAGCAGGGGATACAGATGGGAAGACAGGTTTGTGGCTCCAGATTTAGATTTCCTGCCCGGCCGATGCGGCTCAGCGGTGGAGCGTCAACCCAGGAACCAAGAGGTCACGCGTTTGATTCCCAGTCAGGGCACATGCTGGGTGGCAGGCTCAACCCTCTAGTGGGGTGGGTGTATGCAGGAGGCAGCTGACCAATGATTCTCTCTCATCATTGATGTTTCTCTCTCTCCCTCCCTCTCCCTTCTTCTCTGAAATCAATAAAAATATATACTAAAAACAAAGATTTGGATTTCCTGTGAAGTTTCTCCCCAAAGTTATTTGCCTTCAGGTTTGTTTCAAGTTATTTGAAACGTGGTTTCTTAATCAGGAAATATTAGAGGAGGAATCTCAGTTCATGCTTGTAAAGTTGGGTTGAGCATTTGCCAGAAGCCACGTGGCCAGAAGTGGCTGGCTGGGGTCCTGTAATCATGCAGGCCACCTGGAAGCTGCAGGCCCAAGGGGGAAGCGACAAGAACAGGGTCAGAAAGCCCCCTCCCAGAGAGAGCTGTACACGTAATGGGCAGTGCATTTGTTACGTTTCTCCCGATTTGAGGAAATACACCTGTCTGGGCTGGGCATCAGGCTCTCACTGCACAGGGTCATGCAGGGGTGTGACCCCAGGGTGTCTGCTTCTGACCCCACCCCACACTGCCTAAAATTGTACCCTGAAAGGGATCCCTTTGGGTCGAGGAATCTATTTACGCTCTCTCTCTAAAAGAAAAAAAAAATTCTCAGGGAAGAATCATTTGGCCATTCACACCTTACTGTGAGTTACATCAGCTCAGAACAGTTATGGGACGTTCCACTGGAAGAGAAGAACTATCTGGGGCCCTAGGGCGCTGGCACGGGGAGACCCAGGGAGAGGCCCAGGGGAGGTCCTGCCAGAGGCTTGGGTGGGGGTTCGGGATGAGAAAGGGGAAGGGAATGCACAGCAAACAGACTCCTGGCTCCTCCTCTGCACAGACAGGCTGACAGGACTCAGGGGAAATGCAGAACCCAAAGGGGTCTCCACCGCTCTCCCCAAGCCTTAAGCTTGGCCAGGTGGAACTGAGGTCCAGACTTTGTCCAAAGAGTGAAAAAAGTCATTCCAGTATCAGGTGCTGGATCCTGCTTTCCTCCAACGAAACATCCACAACATTCGTTGACTTCTGACATCTTTGAGTCCCAAAGTGCTCCCCCCGACTGACCATCCCTTCCCAGTGTCGCCCCCCCCCCCACCTCCACCCCGCCCCCCAGCCCAGCCAGGCCAGGAACCTCTTCCCCAGGAGGTGCTGTGGGCAGGCCTGGCCCTGCAGTTGCTCCTCTCTCAAGTCACCTAGAACCAGATTATCTGGTCCTGCCCTCCCTCAACCCGGAGAGTGTAGAAACACACGGGGCTCCCCAGGAAGAAAGGTGTTAAGAGAGAGAGCTCAACTTGGAGAAACATCCAGAAGGGAGAGAACCATGGGAGGGCCAAGCAAGCTCCCTCTGAACCAAGGAGGTGAGAACAGGGATGTGCCCACTTCTGCCTGCTGCGCCTGGGCGGGTGGGGGGCGGGGGAGAGAGAGGCAGGCCCCTCCACCAGCAGCCACCTGCCCTTCATGCCATCCTTTGCTGCCCCCCTCCCACGTGTCTCTACCCAGCTCCTGTTAGAAGGGCTCAGCATCCATTCATAATAGAAAGAATCACTAAGAGAAGCTGGCAGGGCGAGAGGGGGAGTGGAAGAGACGCAGGAGACCCGAGGGCCTCGGGACGGAGCGGGCGGGGGGGCGGGGGGGGTGCTCTGAGAACGTCCCCCAGCTTCCAGTCCCCGCCTCAGGGGACGGCAGCTGTGCCCCCTCCCACCCCCACCATAGAAGCCTTTCACCTGCTGCACCACCACACCACGCAGGAGCTGCAGGAGCTGCAGGAGCTGCAGGAGCTCAGACCCCGCCCCCCCCCCCCCCCCATTCTTGTCCCCTCGCTGACACAAAGGAGACTAAAGGGAACAGTTGAGAGGCTTATTGGTCCTAGAGGGGCAGGTAGCCAACCCCTCAGGGGAGACACAGGGGAAGCGGGAGGGTCTGGGGCTCTACCTTGTTTAGGTGGGAAGGTGACCATTTCTGAGATCCCTGTTAGACTTGCAGGTAGTAGGGGTGGGGTGTGAGGGTGAGCCCCTCCCTCAGGCCCACCCCTCCAAGCAGCTCCACCTCTTGGAATTCAGTATACACACAGGTCTGGAAACTTCATCTCGTAGACGGGGATGGAGTGGTTCTGAGGCTGGCCGTAGGCTGCGGTGATGGTTCCTGATGGGCTGGGCGGGGGCCTGGGCAGGGGCACATGGAGGAGAAAGGGATGAGGAGTGGGTCCCACCCCATGCAACCAAATAGAGCAGCTGATTTGTGTTTCTCTTTGAACAGGGGCCAGAGCCTTTGTCACTCTGTGGGTTCCCAGGTTTTAAGTTGTTCTAGAATCTACAGCTCCATGGCAGGCTCTACAGTGACAATGTTGCTTTAGAAAGTCAAGTCTCAGCCTGGGAAACAAGGACCCTGACTCTTTTCCAGGGTTCACTGAGCCGTCTCTTGTCCTCTCTAGTCTCAACTTCCTTTTCGGGGAGAGTTGGTGGCTGAGTCCAGCCTGGGGGGGAGGGCACCCAACGCTAGGCCACGGAGGCAGGGGTCCCCGGGCCAGGGCTGCCACTTACCGGATGGTGATTTCAAAGATCTGATTGAGTTTGCTCTGCAGCAGTGACGCCTAGACACAAACAGAGGGGGAGTCAGCTGGGGTTCCCGCACCGCTGCGGGTGGTCATGAGCCCACCTGTCCGGAGCGCGCACTGGAGGTCTGGGCAGTGCAGCCTCAGGAAGGGAATGGTGGGAGATCGTTCCCAGCACTTGTCTGTGGACCCTGGCTGTGGGTTCAGGTCAGGCAGAGCCGCCCAGCCACGGCCTGCTGGGGCACCAGGAGGACTTCAGCAGGCGATTCTTGAAGGACCCTTAGCTCCTCCAAATGGGACGGTAGCGCCTGCTGGGCATGAGTCAGGAGGCTGAGAGCTGGTTCCAGCTCTGAACTCCAAAGAAGCAGCTGTGCAAAATTGGTGGTTTAGGGAAGATGTGCCTTCTGGTCCCTTCTGGCTCCGACTGTGTGAGGGAGCTGGGCACGTGTTCTGTACCTGGGCCTCAACTCTGAGCTCATGAAATGAGCAGCATCTACCTCTTGAGATGGGACAAAAGGTCAGGATAATATAGGCCCCCCCCAATCGCCATTATACTTACATGTATTTTATGTTATTATATATAATTATAATAATTGGAAATATATATGTATATTAGAAATATATATTGTATAATAAAAAGACATGTTTTTATTGAGAGGAAAAAGTACAATTAAGTAAGAGTGATTATAACTTTTGGAAGTTTACAAGTATATTTCTTTGTGACTAAGAGGAACACTGTGACTAGCAAATCCTGGCAGAGACAATCAATCTCAAGAAATGTCTGTGCCCCTCCCTGAAGTATAGACACGAGCCCCTCTTTCCCCTTGTCCGGGGCCCCCCTCTCAGATCTTTCCCAGGCCCGCTGTTCACCCTCTGCCTGCAGGTCCTGCTGCAAACACTGGCCATCTTTCCTTCCCCATGGGCTCCTTCCCCACCACTCCGGGATGTGACTGGCACCAGCCACGCAGAGTAGTCATGGGAACGAAATAAACAGATGTAAGGTGTCTGGCGCCCCTCACAGGTAAAGCGCTAGGCACACACTTGCCATGATGATGATTATTACAGTCTGTCTGTCTGATGCAGGAGCTCCTGAGGTCAGGGCTTCTTCCTTACGTGAAAAGTGAGAGGCCTGGAGGCCTGGGTGGCCCGTAGCCAAGTCTTCGGTTCATGGGGAAACACTGTAGGGCCAGGGTGCCGCTGGCATCTCAACCCTAACCTCTGGGTGACTCAAGTGCCAAGATCTAGCAACCCCGTCCGGCCCTGGACCCGCTGCCCCCGAGGGCTCGCCCTGTGGGCCTCACTCACCCGGGCCCCGCAGTGAGCTGCGATCTCCTCGAAGGGCGCCTTCTGGAACTTCTCCACCACCTGCCGCCGCCGTTCGCGCTCCTGCTCCTCCACCGTCACACTGTCCACTGCAGCACAGAGTGCGGTCAGCCCGCAGGGCCTGCCCACTGACAGGGAGCTGGGTGGACTCCTCCCGGAGCTCTGTCTGTGACCGCAGCTCCGGCTCCCCCTGCTGATGGGCCGGGTGCGGTGGCCTGGAGGGTGCGGTGCCATCACGTGGCCCCAGCAGGTCTAGACCTTTCCTGAGGGCCCAGCGACCTTCCTTGTGTAAGGGTTTGAGAACCAGTTGAGCAGACCCTGAAGCTGGGCTTTTAAAGCCCATGTAACTGCACTGCCACTAGGACTCTTAACGGGAAGTTCCTGGAATAGGAAGTACTCTAGGGGGATTTGAAAAGCGACATCAACAATGGAAAGGCCAGACAGACCACAAAAGCCAGTCCAGAACCCCTATGGCAGAGTGGTATGAAGCTGTGTACATATCCCTCTTGGTATCCAAAATGAGTTAGAGAAAAAAGGGGAGGGGTCTCAAACATGTCCATCATTCGCTGTTTAAGAAGGCAGAGTGTGTACGTTCAGGAGCACCATCAATGACAACAAAAATAAAAAAGGTCTGGCATGTGAAGACAAAATTTGTCATCAGCATTCAGAAAAATTCTCTCATTTGAAGTACTTCAGACAGAAGACGTAATACTACATTTTAAAATCTATTGCCGCCCGCTGGTGTGGCTCAGTGGTTGAGCATGGACCCATGAACTAGGAAGTCACAGTTCGATTCCCAGTCAGGGCACATGCCCGGGTTGCAGGCTCGATCCCCAGTAGGGGGCATGCAATAGGCAGCCAATCAATTATTCTCTCTCATCACTGATGTTTCTCTCTCTCTCTTCCTGTCCTTTCCTCTCTGAAATCAATAAAAATATTTTAGAAATCTGTTGCCATTTTTAAATAAATATTAATATGGTTTGTTCTTAATATATTTCATTGGTCAACTTGTTCTTCTGTATCACATTCTAACAAAAAACAGTCGAAGTCTTTATACACAACTGCTTTTTACCTGACTGGCTGTAACCCTCAGTGGATTACCTTAAAGGCAGCAGTCAGTAGAAAAAGGGTTGTCTGACCTAAGAGACACAGGGCAACACTGATCCCTCACGAGAGCAGGACTTCCCACTGCAGCTTTGGGAGTTGGGATGAGTTCAGAGGAAGCCACAATGTCTGCCCTCAAGTCTGTGCTGAATCATCCTCGGGAAGACAGCAGATGGGGCTGCACACACCCACTCGCTTGCAACCAAGACCCAGCTCTGCCCTCCCCTCCAACCAACTCCCTGGGGGCCTCCCACTTACCAATGGCCTTCTTCAGCGTCTCATAGGTGATCTCCTCTGCTGGTACTCGCTGAGGGAGAGGGGACAAGTGTGACAAAGGTGGAGCGGGGGAGGAATCAGAGGACGCAGCCTTGGCTTCCTTAGTTACCTGGCAGCCCCTTCACTTCTCAAAGAATGTCCCAATGGGCAGAAACTCCCCCAGGACACCCTCCTTCTCACCAGGGTCTCCGGAAGCTCTCCAAGAGTCATGACATGGGGGTGGGGAGGCTAATCCCTCATTAGAGCCTCAACTAATAGAACCCACTATCTCCTCCCCCTGGCTTGTCCCATTAAGCCCAGTGGGAGGAAAACACTGTGCAATTAAAAAAAAAAAAAATCTTCAGATACCTAACAGAAAATATTGGAAGCAAGAAGAGATTATATTTGCAGATGGCCATATAATCTCAAATGTCAGTTTCAAGAACTGAATAACATTTTTGAGGACTTAAGGGATGTGGGTGCGGGAGTAGCATCCAACTCATGCTGCGGTTCTAACATTTTTGAGATCCCCAGTCTTGTAGAGCTGGAAGGGCCTGGTTCAACCTCATTTCACTTCTCCAATTAGCCTCCTTCCTTCCATGGGAAGGTTCCAGATAAGCTCTGAAAAGCCCAGGACTGGAGGTCTCCCCCAGTTAGTGAAGGTTGAGGGCATGGCGACAGGGAGGCTTGATCTCGAGCCCAATGGGTTCTCCTTGCTCCTTGGGGAAAGACTAGGTCTCCATGGCCACACCAGCCCTCATGGGTAGAAACTGTCCCTGCTCCAAACTCCGCACGTCTTCTTGTCCAAGTCCTCACTTCTTTCTCCCTCCTCCAAGTCCCCTCCCCATTTCTTTCCCATTTGAGAAGTACATTTGGAATTTCCACTACGATTCCTTAGTCTCCCTTTCTTGTGGGTACATCTGCTTTATTTTCTGAGCGAGAATAAAAAATGGCAGGGGAGATAGCACATATTCAGTTGTACAGAGACTAGACATTCACAGCCCTCAAGAACAGGTGGGAGAGAGAGGTTTGAGCTGCAGCCTTCTCTTTAAAAGAGCACCTTTATGGGTGGGCCTCGCCCTCATCTCTCCTATTAACCTTCCGATTTCCAAAATGGAGCGTGCTTGTCCCCACCGTGAATGGAGAATGGCAACCAACAAGTCTTTCAAGAGCGATTTTTATGACATTCTCATGGGAGTACAGTAGGGAGGAAGGTGGATACAGATCACTTCTTCCAGATGGAAATGTCTGTGGGCTACAGGATGACAGTAGGAAAACTGGACTTCCCTGAGAAATTTACTTTCTGTGCAACCTTACCTGTGTTGTGCAGTTAGGGGGGCCTGGAGCATGGGGTGTTTGACTGCATAGAAGGCAGGAGCAGGTGCCCTCCCCCGGGGATGCCGGGCTTCACCAGGGCAGTGTCTGGGGGAGACACTCACCTCCTCCCTCTCAGGGCTGTTCCTAGATTCCACCTCCACCTGCAGGGAAATGGTTTCTCCAATGCTCTTCCTCTTGGACAGGCGATCCTCATCTGGGAAAGGAGAAGCCAGAAGCGAGATGCCTAGCTGTCAGGGAGCGAGCCAGGATCTTGCCCCTGGCACCATCTCCCATGCCCTCTGCCTTTGCCTGGTCCAGTGGTCGGCAAACTCATTAGTCAACAGAGCCAAATATCAACAGTACTTCTTCAAAATAGACTCGCCCAGGCCGAAAACCGACGACTTCTGCGCATGGGCCACGAAGTTTCAATCGCACTGGACGTGCGCCCGCACGTGGTATTTTGTGGAAGAGCCACACTCAAGGGGCCAAAAAGCCGCATGTGGCTTGCGAGCCACAGTTTGCTGACCAAGGGCCTAGTCCATGTCCTCTGAGGGCTCAGGGCACGTGAAGTCTACAGCCGGATTTTAAAAAATATATATTTCATTGATTTTTTACAGAGAGGAAGGGAGAGAGATAGTTAGAAACATTGATGAAAGAGAAACATCGATCAGCTGCATCCTGTACACCCCCTACTGGGGATGTGCCCGCAACCAAGATACATGCAGGCTGACGCTTTATCCACTGAGCCAAACCAGTTAGGGCTACAGCTGGATTTTATGGCTGGGCCTTCTCTGCCCATTTTGGGATGGTGGGTTCTGCTCTTTAGGGCTAAGATTTTGAAATCCTTGATGAGCACAAAGAAGCTGCTTATGGCCAGAAAGCATGTCTCAACTTGTGCAAGCGTCATCTTGCTCAGAGCACTAATGACTGTCATTTGTGTAGCATTTACTACACGCATTTGCCTTCATTATTTTATGTACTTTTCTCAGAGGTGCCGGAAGACATCTTGGGAGTCAGTGACAGAGAACTGGGTCTCTGTAGCCCATGTGTGGCACAGTGGGGCCTCTCCCATCCACAAGCCAGGCTATCTTATGGGCCAGTTACTTCTAAGGACCCTGCACTGAGGAGGAGAGGTGGGGAAATCCAGAGGATCTCACCATAGATCTCCACTGTGCCTTTCAGCTCTTGTGTGACATCCAAGGGGCCATGGAAGGTGACTGAAGCCCCTTACACTCAGGCCCTTACCTGGCCATGACAAGCCAGAGGCAGGCCTGGGAGTCCTTGAGCAGGGCTCATACCTGTCAGCTGAGGGATGTAGGGCAGGGAGAGCCTGTCTGAATTGTAGCCACTGCCCCCCAGGACTTCACTGATCTTGCTCTGGCGGAAGAGGAACTCAATCACCACTCCATCAAGATCCTGAGACAGCCTGGACGACAAGGGAGGGAAGAGGCAAGTGAGAGCCGTGGATAACGAGGATGATTTCCTAATAACTTATTATAAAGGCAACATTCATTATACCAAATGACGGAGATGCAAATGGGGAAAAAATCACCCATTGTCCCACTTCCAGAGATAACCTTCAGTGAGCAGAATCCTTCAGTCACATACATTTATACACACACAACCACCGCCCCCTTCCTGTTCTATGATCTATTTCATGTACCTCTTCTATAGTGAATATATCACATTAATATCACATTAACTATTCTTTGAAACCATTGTAAATGGGCTAGCAGTCGACTGCTGTGTGGATGGCCATAATTGATAAAGCCATCCCCTGGTGTTGGACATTTCCCCCGGAATATCTTTCCCTCGTGTTCCTCTGATGCTGAAGTGACATCAGTCTGACAATGCCCCTTGGGTTGATGGCAGTGTCTTGTCCGGAACAACTGCTCCAGGATTGCTCCCCATGGGCTTGGTCACAGCGCCCAGAGGGAGCATCACATAACCTATATGGTACAACACATCCAGATGGCCCAAGGTGTGTATACAGTCACGATGCCTGTTGAACTTGACCCAGGACCTATGGGCCACGGGCAGGTTCCACTTTCAGCCCTAGAGCCCATAGAAGCCTAAGCCCCTGCCTCCGACCGCCCACCTTCTTACTCAGCTGCCTTTGATTTCCTGGACCATGTGCCAGGCGCGCCCCTCACCTGGGCTTCTCCACAAACACGTCCTCGGGGAGCATGTACGGGGCCTCTTTCTTCCTGGTCTCTATCACCTGGAGTTTGGGAGGAATCGCAAGGTAAGAGCTGGGCGCAGCAGGGAGAGGGAGCTCCGAACAAGCAGATGAAAGAGCTCCCGCCCACTCAGTGTTTCCTCCCTCCTGCAAATCCGTGGCAGAGCGCCCTACCGCTGGCTTCTGAGGGGGAAACTCAGACCACAGTGACCCTCAGAGCAGCCGGGCGGTCTGCTCAAGCATATGGGCCACTGACACATATGCACTAAGTGTCCTCCAAGTGCAGGGGACTTAGCTCCCGAGAGGCTGTTCTTTCTTGTTTCTGTGACCTGTTCCTGGTTTCTCTTTGAACCTGGAAAAGGGAGCATAGGTCACACTCTTCCCAAGCCCTGGTGCATTGCAAACACATCCGGATGGACAGTGACATGCTGAGTTTCCCTCGGTATCCTTTGCAAATTTTTGACAAGGAAGGTGAAAGCTATTAAGATGGTGAGAAGTGGGAGGATAGCTGGCAGGCAAGTGTACGGGGGAGGCGAGTAAGCAATGATGCTACTATTTTTAATGAAGAGGATGACTAAGCACAGGGCCCATGCAATTAAGGAAAAGTTCTGAGGAAACCCCAAGTGAGGGCTTCCTGCGTTCGCAAAGTCATAAGGACATCTCAGGGTCACGAGGACACCAACCTCATGGATGTGCTGGCAGAAGGCTGGCACTGTCGTGAGCTGGCTGATGAGGTTCAGGTAGGCCGCGCCCAGCGCGTAGAGGGCACAGCGGTTGTATACAGGCAAGTTCTCTTCATTGACCTGGGCCAAGTCCTGTGGCAACACAGAGGGGCGTTTGCAGTTTTTAATTGACAAACTATACTGGTGTCCCACCTTCTGCCTAACCGCCCCACAACCGTAGGGAGATGGCCCACTGCTCTAGATTAAGCTTCATCAGCATTTGCCTCATCATTTCCTGGAAGTCAGAAGCCATCCTTATTAAAGCTGAAGTGAATGGTCCCTAGAACAATCCATGAGAGGCGATGACCTCAACCCCCACTTTGCAGTTCCAGCCTTAGTGACTTTGACTATCCAAACCCTCATCATGAAACCCACCACTGGGATGCTGTTTCCTTCGCTACAGACCTTGCATGATGCTTGGAGGACAGGATTGGCTTGCTACATTGGGTTCACATGTTAGGTTGAGAAAGTTGTGGGAGTTATTAGGGCAAGCATGTCAAACTCAAAAGCTAACACGGGCCAAATAAATGAGGCATGTGGCCCGCAGGCCGAGAGTTTGACATGCTTTTACTAGGGGTTTGGGATACAAAGGAATCTCAAATTCCAGAATGAAGACAGTCGGGCAATCATAGCATCTAGGTTGGCCTTGCAGGATTTAGCACTATCAAGCAGGTGGGGCCTAAGACTGGCCACCACTGAATTTCCAGGCTTGCCACAATCCAGGATGCAATGTCCGCCTACCTTCAGGCCCCTGGAGACCCTTATCTTTGAGATCTGAAGGCCATACCCCAGTGGGCAAACTACGGCCTGCGGGCCGGATCCGGCCCGTTTGAAATGAATAAAACTAAAAAAAAAAAAGACCGTACCCTTTTATGTAATGATGTTTACTTTGAATTTATATTAGTTCACACAAACACTCCATCCATGCTTTTGTTCCGGCCCTCCGGTCCAGTTTAAGAACCCATGGTGGCCCTCGAGTCAAAAAGTTTGCCCACCCCTGGCCTAGAGTGTACTTCCACCCAGGCAGACCTTGGAAGTCTAAAGCCTTACGTAGTGTCACACTGCCTGCCCAAGAGTCACAAGGGAGGCCTGTTGAATCTACTGGCCCCCAGGCTCAGGACAGAACTGGAAACACGTATTTTTAATACATGCTTGAGGCGATTCAGAAGCAAATTTGGGAACCAGATGATTGGCTTTGGAATCACTCCAGGCTTGTAAGCGCCCTCTTGGCAATTCTTGGAGTCCCATTCAGACTCTTCAAGAGGCTTGAACTACTGAGGGCTAACGACCCTGTTCCCTGGGTCTCCTTTAGCCTGAGACTGGGCCGAAGCCATGGGGTACGCATTCTTCATGGTTCACCTACAGGGCTAGGGCGGGTGGTCTTCACGGAGGAATGGCCAACCAAGGGCACAGTATTCCCAGCTCCAAAACAATTGTTAAGCAGTTGCTACCCATCACTCCAATTAGTGTTTGATCACAACAGGACCTCCCCCCCCCCCGATCCCAACCCCCATGTCCCACCTGAATAGCCAGCACCAGGCGGATGAGGTCTACCACCACCTCCTCGTTGGCCAGCTCGATGCTGATGAGCGCCAGCAAGCCATAGAGGGCCTCGTAGTGCTTCTGTGTGTTCGTTTCCTCCTTACAGCACAGGTAGATGTGTCTGTAGAGCTGCTGGGAGTGCTGGAGATGGGGATAGGGGTGTGGGCAAGGCCACCGTGGCAGGGTGGGGACAGAAGGAGCAAGAATAGAAAAACTAATCTGAAGAAAGTGGGGAAAACTGTGTATACCCCACTTCCACCCCCAGGGAGAGGATGCCCAGTGGACGTGAACACGTGCAGGAGCGCATATGTAGAGAAGGCTGGGTCCAGTCAAACCAGCAGCAAAAGCCGCTGCCCAAATTGTTGCAGGAGCAGAACATAGTCACTGGCCCTGGTCCTCATTCTGGCCTTGGTGATGAGTATGACCCTGGGGGCTTGACCCCGGAGGGTTGGCTGCTCATCCTGCCTACACAAAGAGGGAGGAGGCCGGCTCCGGGAGCAGTGGTCAGCAGTGACTGGCGGACTCGAAGGTCAGGGTCCCAGGGCCTGGCCTGCTGGGGAGTCACTGTATCTTGAAGTAACATTTGCTAACCTTCTTCATGAAGACGGTGTCCTGTCGGGAGCACTTGTCCACTTTCAGCTTCAGGACAGAGATGTCACTGAGGGTACTGGAAGGGGACATAAGGGGCCACCTTAGCCCATGTGTGAGGTCAGTCAGAGCTCATGTGGTGTCACTGGGCTTCATCCCGATGTCACTGGTTGTACCAAGGTCTCCCAGTGCTCCTCCAGCCCTGGTTCCTAACCCATTCTCTACTTTCTCCCAAGCTCTCTAGTTCCTGTCCCCTTTTCTTAAATATTGATCTAGATTATTCTTTTCCTCCCCATCTGAAAACTCCCTTTAGTAGGTGCTGTTTATCTCCCAAATCTCCAACCCACTCCCTATCTCCCCCAAGTCAAGTGCTCTTTCAGTCGCTCTTCCCCTCACGGGGCCCCAGGGTCAATGTCTGTGATCAGTTCTCTGGTGGGTCTCACTGAGTCTCTGAGCTGTCTTCCCATCTGCATGTGTGGCCCTATCGGAGTCTCCTCCCATCACATATCAACAGGGGAGGAGGCCCCAAGTTCACCTGATGGAAGAGAACTTGTGGCGGTTGCCATGACGATCAATGAAACTGATGAGAATCTCTAGAACGAAGAGACGGATCTCTGGGTCATCCATGAGGGCGGTGGACAGAAGGCGGTCCAGGAAGTTGCTGGGCAGGGCTGACATCATATTGCTGCACTGGAAACCTAGGGACACCTGCAAGGGAGCCCAGGATGGCCATGCTTAGGAACGCTGGCCCTCTCAGGTGCAGTGAGGAGATGGAGCAGCCGCCAGCAGAGGTCTGGTCTGAAGCATTCACCCTCTCTGGGCACCTCCCAGTCCAGATCCCCCAGTCCAGACCCACCCTGGACCCTGGATGCCTGAGGCCACTTTTTTGAACACACCAACATCCGAGACAACCTCCTCAGCTCAGCTCAGTAGACATGTGGTTGGATGGGGACCGTGTGCAGGAACTTTAAATGGTTAAAAGCAAGCAAGGGATGAGCACTAAGGGGAGCAGGAGTCAGGGAGCCTCTGAACTTATGTTCCAGGCCATCGGCACAACTGATGAAGACTCACTGTGAATACAAGGCTTACTAGGTGGGTGGACGGTCACAGAGCGATGGACAGACAGCGGAAGAACCTATAGCTGGGCTGCGGAATCAGAACCTACACGCATGGCAACCAAAAGCACACACAGCGATTGGTTGTGGCCATGAAAGGGTCTTCTGATCAAAGCCAATTGGCACAGACACATCCCACGTGATGTCAGAGCAGTCAAAAGCAGCGAAACATACTTACTGTTAAGTCCCTATGTTCTAAAACAATGCCTTGGACGATTCAGCAGGCCCTGGAGGAGCTAGCAAAACCTAGCGCCATCAAAGGCAAACACCAGTGTTCTCTGAAGGGGGATGTACCCAAGCGCGTCCCAAAATGTCACCTTACTAAGATGCCAGGTACAAATCAGTGAGGGATGTGAAGAAATGGCAGGAGTCCATAGAGGAGGAGGGAACCAGATGCGGGCAGCATTAGCATGAAAAGCCTCTATACACATAGAATGGCATGAAAGGCGTGGGCTGGGGGAGGGGAGGGAAGGCCTGAGTGGGAGTGAAGGCTGTGCAGGCTGCCATGGCTGGAACAGAGAAGGCTGAGGGATGCGATGGGGAGTCGAGGGAGGGAAAGGGCATTGGAGACCTTCCACCTTCAGTCTGAAGACAGGCATGGCCCATTGTGCTTCGCAGATATTGCATGGTTTGGCAAACTGAAGGTAAGACCCTCCACCAGCACAAAGGCTCTGACGCTGAAGCCTCTGATGATGATTAGCACTTTTAGCAATAAATTATTTTGAAAATAAGATATGTACATTAGTTTTAGACATAGTGCTATTGCACACTTAAAAGACTACAGTATGCACGGTGTAAACATAACTTTTATGTGCACTAGGAGACCAAAAAGTCCGTGTGTCTTGCTTTATTGCGCACTCGCTTTATTGCCGGGGTCTGGAACCAAACCTGCAATATCTCCAAGGTATGCCTGTATGAAATCTAGATGTACCTCAACTGGAAACTGAGACCTACACTTTAACAAGAGGCAACATGTGGGGAACAGCATTTCCAGAAAATTCTTGTGGTTGTATTTATGGTAGGTGAAGAGAGAGGGAGATAAAAGCAACTGGGAGAATCGTGTAGCTGTGAGACGTCCGGAGTTTAGGCCAAGGCTGTGTACAAGGATAACTGGGGAGCTTGTTACAGACACAGAGTCAGGACCCCACGAAGTCTGATGGCTCAGAATCTCTAGGGAATCTCTACAGCTCAACAAGTTGGCCATGGGAATGACCTTTGAGAACAATGAATCTCTAGACATGATGGCTGAGAGATGCAAAAGAGGAATATGAAACACTGACGAAGGGAAAGCTTGTGGCTGGGAGACTGAGGTGAAACCAGGAGGGAACAGTGGGGAAGGTCATTGGAGCGGGAAGGGGCGGGAACCAGCAGATTCCATCTCAGTACAGAGAGGATGTCGAGTGACAATGCTATCAGTAGCTGATAAGGATCCTGTGTGTGCCCAGCCAGGCAAGTGAGAGGGACACAGGCTGGTGTCAGTCCCACCTCGGCCCTTTGCATAGACATATCTGTGCATGTGCAAGCTTCACAGCTGTATGCTGGAGCCGACCCTGGACCTGGGAAGGAGCTTCCTCCCGCAGAGGCAGAGTGGGAAGGGGACGGGAGGCTCACCTGAAGGAGGGATTTCAGCAGCATAATCTGGGTCAGCCGGTTCCTGTTCTCTCTGCAGACCAGAGATACACACTCTCATCAGGATGTGACTTGGGTGGAGACCCCACACTTGCCTGCGTAGTTCTCCCTCGTGATGAGATTCCCCACGAGGCTTATGTGTTGAGTTACCCAGGACGGTGACCTCAGAGCCAGGAAGCAGACCAGGAATTAATGGCTCCCCGCAAGGCGGGAGGTGGTTATTGGGGAGGGAGGGTGGCAGCCTGAGGAACTGCTGTGGGATCCAAGGGCCCCCCTAAAGGCTCGGGCGGGGTTTGAGAGCAGAATGAGAGAAGTGAGGGCAGACCCAGGGAGGAGAGCGCGAGGAAGGCGTGGCGGACCTACCCGGTCCTCCCCGTCTCCACGGGGTGATGCAGAGAGGGCAGCGGGACCTTGCTCATGATGAAGAGGATCACCTCTGAGCGCTGATACGTGGGCAACGTGCTGGCAAAGGAGCCTGCGGGAGGGAGAAAGATGGTGGAGAGGGTCGGCCCCCCGAGGCCATCGGCCCCCCGAGGCCAACGGCTGCCGGGGTCGCTCAGCTCAGGCTTTCTGCTGCTTCTCTCGGGAGACGATTAAGACCCAGAGGAGGAACCTAGATAATTCCAGACGACTCACTCGTCCAGGCTCCAGTTCCTCCGCTTAGTCCAGAGCCGGAGGCTCAGGTCTCTGGGATGGAGACCTGGACCCTGGGCCAGTCAGCAGCCCCGGGTGCCCACCGAGGCTCTGCCACCAGCTGCTCTGCTGGGTGCCGCGGGACACCGGCTCTGACACTTCCTGGAGGTGCCTGGCCCTTTCTGGAAGGAAGGCAGCCCCGTAATCTCAGCGGCTCGCTGTGAGCTGGGGTGATTCCTGCCCTGCCTGCTTCTCAGAGCTGGGGGACGCTCCAATGGCTCGGGGCAGGAAGGCTCCGGAAGTGATGAGCCTTACACATGAGGTGGCTGTACAGTTCCTCCCTCGCCCCAGCGCATGCACATGTTCTCCACGGCTCGCTCCCGTTCCTCTTCCTTCCTTTCCTTTCCCTCCCTCCCCATCGCCTCTCTGACCCCTCACACTTGGGAGCAGCAGGCAGGCCTAGGGGGACTGGGCGCGGGAAGAGTTTGCCTCTTTAGCCTGTGGCCTCAAATCCAGGCGCCCACTCAGCCCGACTGGGACAGTCTGTGCGCTGCATGCACCATGGACGGACTCCACTTCCCTCCCGTGTTGGTGAGCAGCATGCACAGAGGACAATCCTGCAATGCCCTGACCGAAGTCCCCGGGGGTGCCATCCCTGGACCACGCCCCTCCGGGGCCACGCCCACCCACGGACCACGCCCCTCGCTGGGACCCGCACCTATGGTCTTGATGACGGCCTCCTGGAACATGCGCTCCTCGTGCTCCTTGATGATCTTGGTGCCCAGGCTGACGCCCGCCCCGTCGTAGCTCCCGTCGTAGCTCCCGGTCAGGGCGTAGTCGATGCTGAGCCGCAGCTGCCGCAGCAGCGTGTTGAACATCTCCAGCACCGTGGGCCCTGCGCGGCGGGGTGGGGACCCAGCATTCAGGGCTGGCGCCCTCCATTCTTCCCTGCCCTGCACCCCCACCAGGGCTTCCTCTCCCCAGGTTCCTGCCCTGACCCCTCCCTAAGGCGCCTCCCTTGCCCTTTTCTGGAAGCAGGGTTGGGGGGGGCAGCCCTTCGTCCCGGAGGGGTCCCAGCCCCCACGCCTCCCAGGGCCGCCTTACCCACAGAACCGGTGGCGGCGATGACAGCGGCCTCCGACAGCACCTCCACAATGCCCGCGCGCACGGTGGCCGCACTGCGGCTGTTGGCATCCAGGTGGCCCAGGAGCTGCTGGATAACCAGGTGGGAGTGCTGCGGCTGGGGGGAGGAAGACGTGCTGGTCCCCAATAGCACCCCCACGTGGCCTCTGAGCCGGGCAGCCCCGGCCTGGGACCCAAAGGCGGGGTGGACGAAGGGTCCTTTCCCTGAGCCCCTTCCCCTCGGTCCAACAAGGAACAAAGCCCCACCGAGTGAAGACCTGGATGTCCCTGCTTTTCCTGGGCCCTTTCACCCCAAATGGGGCAGAAGTCCACTTTAGACTATTGTCTTCCTTTCCGTTCCCCATGTCTCATTGGTAAGGGCCGCAGGAGGCCACGGGCTTAGCCCAGTGCTGCTCAAAGCGTGGCCGTGGCCTGGCGACAATGCCAGATCTGCCTGGTGCCCGTTTATTCTGAGATAAGTACAGAACTGGAGAGTCGGCGTTTCATAGGCAACTTGACAATGCGTGGCAGCCAAGCATGGCCTGTGGGCTTGAACTTTTCACGAATTTTTCATTTACACTCTCTATGGATTTTTAAAAATTGTACTTTGTAAAGCATTGGTCTGTGATGGATTAGAAATAAAGCTAAACTGGCCACGCTCCACAGTGACGTTCAGCAGAACCGGTTTGGAAGTGGCTTTGTCTACAAGCGCACTCCCTGCCCCAGAAGTCCCTTGGCCGGGGGACAAGCCGTACCTGAATTGAATACATGATGATTTTAAAGCAACGGATGGCGAACACCTTGGGTTCCCACAGAGAATGGTTATCCAGGTGGCTGTGAGGGAGAGAAATGGGGGGACAGCTATGACATGCAGAGTGGTGTTAAGGAGGAGAGAGACGCTGCGGGGAGTGAGCACCTCCCAGAGACCCAGCCCTCACAGAGCCCCGGGTGAGAGAAGGGAAGACCCAGGGCGGTCCCAGCCCCAGGGCTGGAAGGAGGTCAAGGAAGCCCTGGCTTTAGGAGTTAACTGGGCACCTTCCTTCAGCTTCGGGGCCCCTCCTACCAACTCCTCTCCCCAAAGCTGCACTTGGCCGCTGTGTGGTAGCTTTCGTTGTCCCAGTGCAGCGAACACAGGCACAGAGAAGGGACGGACCTTATCACCTCCTTAGATGCCAGGACCCGAAACTCCGAAACTGTTCGCTTGGGGTGGGGGGGTAGGGGGTGAAAGGGGTGGTGTAGGACTCACATGAGAACAGGCTTGATAGCATTTTTGATGTTGCCAAAGGCAGCCCGGCCCAGCAGTTCCCGAAGGCACCTCTCAGCCAGCTCTGCCGGGTTCTCCTTCTCCTTCTCCGGCGCTTGGAGGGGCGAGGGGGACCGGCTGTGGGGACACACAGCCTCGTGGGTGAAGGGTGGGAGGCCAAGCCGGGACCCGGCTCTGCGTGTGCCTGGGAGGCTGTGCTGCACCCAGGAAAGTGGTGACAGTAGGGGAGATGTCACGGCTCAGAAACTATATGGGGTAGACTCCCAGAGTGGAGGAAGATGGTGGGAGAAGGGAGAGGCTTTTTCCTAGAGATCCTTAGGGATAGGCCTGATGTGCCTCTGTCAGGAGGTCAGGGACCCTGAGCACCAGGGGCAGGGGAGGCACGGCCACGAGTATCTCCATGCCCCTGAGGCTTCAGAAGGCAAAGAAGATGTGTGATATGAAGACAGGTGGGCAGAAGAGCGGAAAGCAAAGGAAAGTGGGAGAGAGGAGAAGGGAGAGGAAAAGGGGAAGGGAGAAAGGCACAGTGGTTGGCTCAGGTTACTGAGCCACAGAGGGTGGGCCCAACCTGGACAGAAGGATCCCCAGGACTCGGGGCCCTGAGACCCCAGGCCAATCTTGTCAATGGAGGTGCGGTTCCAGACACAGCCACCAGAGGGCACACTTCCTCTCCCTGCCTGACTAGCAGCACAGGCGCAACTGACAGAAAGCGAGGGACCCATACCCTCAGCCAGCCCCAAGCACAGCCAAGGTGGACAGGGACCTGAACCTTCCCCTGCACCCCACTTCACAGAGAGGAAGCGCAAGGGGTGGGACAGGATGAGTGCCAGGTCTGGGGGCTGTCTGGTCAAGCAGGCCTGTTTTCAGGGCCTGAAATACCATTAGGATGTGAGGGAGGAAGGAAGGTCAGGGAGGGAAAGTCCTCAGGAAGTGGAGCCACGCAAGGCCTTTTAAAACCACCGTGGCCTGCTGCTTCCAGAGAGAAGAGGTCCCTGAGTCTTGGTTCTTACCAAACAAGGAGCCCAGCATCCCAGGGAGCCCAGCACCATTACCATCCTGCCTCCATGAACGCAGACCTGAAGGGGCACAACAGGCTGCAGAAAGCTGGCCCTGGACTCACTGCGGACCAGGCCACAAAGATCCCCGGCCTCAGAGCTCGGTTTTAGCAAAGCCCACGCCCTGCGGTTCCCCGGCAGCTGGGACGGGCAGCCTGCGAGGGCTCATGGCCTGCTGTCCGACCTCCAGCCTCGTCTGCTTACCTCTCGGCCTCTTCGACGTGCTGCAAGTTGAAGAGCAGCGATGGGACAATCTTGTCCATGTGCTGTGGGTCCCAGATATTGGCCTGCAGCTCATCATTCACCGTCTTCCTCACCACCCCTTGCAGCCCTTTGATGCCTGACATTCGGATCCTGGAAGGAAAAGGGTGAGATGGGGCCATGAAGCCCTCGAACCCTGAGAAATCCAGCTCCTGTGGCAAGTGTGGGGTGAGGGGTACATTCATCCATCAAAAGGCAGGGTGGGGCCTTCGACGCTTCCTGGGACTCGGGCTCCTGGCTGGCTACCAGCCCAGGAGGCCATGCCCTCGGGCTGCCTTTGCCCGGGTACCACCCAGCTTCATCCCTGAGGTGGCAGTGGCTTCAGGTGCCCTCTCTTTCGTTCTCAGCTGGGTTTGCTCCAGCTTGAGCCCAAGATACAGGAGCTGACAGTGCTGCCAAGAACTACGAGGCCAAATGCAGGGCTCTGAGCAACTTAGGAGTGAGGAGGGGGGACCGGAGGGAGACGCACCCGGCTACCAGGCTTTCTTGGCTTACATGCTAGCGGGGGGAGACAGACAATGAATAGGAAGCATAGTGAGTAAATTAAGAAACATGTCCGAAGAGGATGAGGACCATGGGAGAAAAGAGAGAGCCGGGTACAGAGCAGGGTGAGGGAGAAGGGGAAGGGGTGGGGGGAAGTTCGGGGAAGGTGTCATTGACAAGGGCACGTTTGAGCCCAGGCTTGACCGTGGTGGAGGGAGCCGTGCGGACCCACAGGGGAAGCATTCGGGACAGGGACAGACTGTGCCAAGCCCCGGGGCAGCGGGAGGCCTCCTGGCCGGAGGGGAGTGAGTGGGGGAGAGTGGAGAAGTCAGGGGGCAGCGGCAGCGGCCAGTGGGAGGACTTGGCTTTGGCTTGGTGGGTGGATATTTGGATGGATAATGGTGAGGGGATGTTCCTGGGTGTATAAATGGATGTACAAGAGCGCATGGGGGTGTGCATGTGTGTGCATGTCTGTCACTGGCTCCCAAATTGGCCTCCCAGGCCCATTATCTCACATCCACCCAGTTTCCTGCCCTAGAGGCTGCTCCTTTAGAAAGCGCGTGTCGGGAGCCCAGCACTGCCCGCTTGCCCACCCATGTTCCACCAGGTGCTCTCTCCTCCCCAGGAACGTCTGAGAGAGGCAAACCCCAGAACAGCGGTTCTCAACCTGTGGGTCGCGACCCCTTTGGGGGTCGAACAACCCTTTCACAGGGGTCGCCTAAGGCCATAGGAAAACACATATATAATTACATATTGTTTTGTTATTAATCACCATGCTTTAATTATATTCTGTTTGTAACAATGAAATTGGGGGCCACCACACCATGAGGAACTGCATTAAAGGGTCGCGGCATTAGGAAGGTTGAGAACCACTGCCCCAGAGGAATCAGACACACACGGGCTGAGACCCCTCCACGCTTCCATCATCAACTGCGCACGCCCCCTCGCCCTCGCTGCTCACTTGGTCTTGATTTCCAGGTCATCGTGGCTGGAGTGGCACATTTCACTGAAGCGGGACACAAAGAAGTCGTAGCTCCGATGGTAGGACGGGGTGTCCTCCTCGATGTTGGCAAACTTCACAAACTACCCGGGAGGAGAGAGCGATGCACGGGAGGGGTGACCACTGTGCTCCCCGCCTTTGAGCTCTGGGACTTGGTGGCCCCAGGGCCCTGCTGTATGAAAGCCAGGGGACATCCACACCCCGGGAACCACGCCTCCCACAGCACACCGAGTTCCAAATCCTGCTCACAGCTCCTGACTACACAACAGGCCTGGGGTGAGCCGGGGATGGGAGCAAAGACAAAGTGAAGGGGACCCTGGCTTCCTGTGACCCCCAGAACTGCACCGGGTGCACCCACAGGCTGAGGGGCTGCGAGGGCCAACACTGACACTGGGAAAGCCCTCATCGGAGCACGTAGCTCTCCCTAGAACGCACCCCGGAAACAAGAACATCTGAAACTTGATTAAAAAGTGTAATCGCATTTGATTGTTGAAAACTGGACAACATCTTTAAGCTCTGCATCCTCCGCTGCCAGGTGCCTTCTGCCGTCACCAAGCTGCACATTTGCAAGTCTAAACAGGGACTTGATTTCCACTGAGTCCCATAGAGAAGCCAGAATCACCGACTAAGTGGAGTTAAATTATTAAAAAATTAAATATAAGTCTCATAGGTTATTTTATGTGTTGCTATCAATTCAGTAGTGCAAACTACTCTAAAAAGCTTAGATGAAATATACCCTCCATTATTCTGACCTGCATTATTTAATTGCTACCATGTTTTTGTGGGTTCAGAAAGGATATACAATTGAGATCATTCTAGTACCAGCTCCAGTGTGGGGTGTGTGTGTGGTTTCCACGGCGCTGACAAGCCTTGCTCCAGACACTAGCTGGTGTCTTAGACTTCAGTTCAGTTCTGACACGATTGACCCAGAGAGCGCATCAGACCCCATGGCCGAGGGTTCAGTCCTATAAGACTGCCCCCCTCGGACCCAGGGCAGGTCCAGGCTCTCACCTGTACTTCTGACTGACCAGCTAGAGATGCGAGATTCCCTCAACCCCCTCCTTGGTTTGATTCACTTGCTATAGTGGCTCCCAGTGCTCAGGGAAGTCTTTTATTAGATTACCAGTTTAGTATAAAAAGATATAACTCAAGAACAGCCAGATGGAAGAGACGGGGGGGGGGGGCAGGGGGGGACGGGGGGGGGGGGCGGGCATGTGTGTGGGAAGGGGAGGAGCTTCCCTACCGATATCTCTGCATCCCCAGAGCTTCTCCAAACCCCGACCTTTGGGGTTTATGGCAGCTTCATTATGTAACATAACTGATTAAATCATTGGCTACTGGTGACCGAGCTCAATCTTCAGCCCCTTTTCTCCCTGGGGGTTGTGGGGTGGGGGTGGGGGGGACTGAAATTTCCAACCCTCTAATCACTATTATCCTAAACTTAACTTGCTGCTGTGCTCTCACAATATTCAGTATTGTCCATCTATTTTCCTATTTAACTACTTAAAAGTTGTTAAGTGTTTTCTGGATGAAATTAGCAATTTCCACAAACATTAACTATTGTAGTTTTTGTTCTTGCAATAATAAATATACGTTTATTTTCTGCTGACATTCAGTCGCAACATGCAAAGCTGATAAGGTGATCTTTTCTTCCAAGTTACATCTAAAATATGTACATATATTTGCAAGCAACTATACTGATATTAGCAGTCAATCTGAAAGGCACGGCTTGCATGGTGTGCGGCTATGGGGAAGAGGCGTAGTGGTAGTCCGTGTGATCTCAAGACCACTGATGAGACACGAGTTCAGGAGTTCGAGAAACAACAATAAAGCCAGCCCTGGCTCCCTGACCTTCAGAAGCCCCCTAAGGCTAGAGCACAGACTCGGGCTGATACGAGGCTGAGGCTAAGTTTGTCTGAAGCTAAATTTGGGTGCGTCGCTGCTCTCAACCATGAACAGGATGTTCCCAGGCCGCTCTCCCCACCGCCTAAGCCTGGCTTGGGCAGCGGGTCTGCCCACTCGCAGGGGACGTGCTGCTGTAGGGTTCCAGCTGCAGATCTCTGCTCCCAGGCGGGGGCCTGTGGGTGGGACTTTGGTTCACCACCACCCCCCACCCCCCTGTGTGAGATGAGCAGCCCACTCTTCATTCACTGAGGTCCTGACTGTTTTCACTTGTATTTCCTTCTCACATGACGAGGCAGCTTAAAATAAGACCGACTACTAGTGTATACGCAAAAGTGCACGCACTTGAGAATAATTAAAACGAGGCTGAAACAGAGGAGGCCACTAATCACGAGGGAGAAACAGTCCAACCAGGACTTTGTCCATAACGTGTAGTGACAGCGTGGACTCAGATGCAGTCAGGGGACTGAATGACCAAGCTTCACGGGCCAATAGCAATGAAAGCTTAGAAGCGTATACAGAGCAGGTACTACCCTAAGCCTTTTACGTACACCATCTCTTTTATTTCTTAAAATGACTCTAAATGAGCGAGCTAGGATTATTATTCTCATTTTACAAAGAGATCGAGACCCGCAAACATGAAGTAACCTGCTCAGGGCCTCTGAGGAGTCACCCAGGCCTCAGCCCCCTGCAGCCTCCGTGCAGCTCGGCCCTGCAAACCTGGCTTTGGTTCCCGCTCTGCTTCCGCTAGTGCCTCAGGCCTGACGGGGGTTGGGGGACGGGGGGGGGGGGGGGCAGGTACTGTCAGGGAAGAACAAGCATCGGATGAAGAAGCGGCTGGGGATGACCTTAGTTTGGTCCTAAGGGGTGAGGGTGTTCGTTTCCAAACCCTACGGTACAACAGTGTGTGTGTGTGTGTGTGTGTGTGTGTGGGCGGCGCGGGGGGTGGGGGGGCGGTGTGCTTGGTAAACACCCACATTCTAGCCACCAGACATGCTGTCAGTCTTGGACAAGGCCCGGGGGTTTACCTTTTAGCAAAGTCCCAGGAAACTGGTGGACGGTCTGATCGTCCGAGGCCCACATTTGAGAGAGACTGCAGCGTCACCCGCAGGCAACCTGGCCTCCTCTTCCCCTCCAGCCCCCTCTCTGCCGCTTCTCTGGATCCGTCCCTATCTCTATGGAATGTGCCATCAAGTCCCCCTTCACTGCCAACACTGACTTTCCTCCTCCCCAAAGTGCCGTGAGGAGCGTGGCCCCGGGCGGCAGGTTCCTGCTGGTGTCTGTTCTGATGGGCTGTCATCTGTGCCGTCCAGGCTGCTCAATATTTTGACTATGACCACCCTGGCTGCAAGGTTAGAATTCAGATTACAGCCCATGTTTAAAAATGGAAAATTCAGCGACAGCCACGAAGTTCACGAGGGTAGAAAACCAGCAGGGGATGCCTTCTCCAAGTCATTGGGAGCCTTTTTCTAGACGGGGCCACCCACAGCTGCTCGCCTCCCTGGAAAAGACCCTCATCCTTCTCTTCTCTGACCCTCTGCGTCCCTGGGTCTTCACTCTCCTGTGCTCTTTCCCCCGGAACCTTCATTCTGAGCCTTCTTCTCACATTTTGGTTTTGATGGAACGGTTCTCCTACTTAAACAGTTGTGCTCCGCTCCGGCTGCTGGGCCGGTGACCAGACACCACTCTGCATCTTGTCATCTGTGCGACCGTGGGCACGCCGTGCACCCTCTGAGCCTCTGTTCCCTCATCTGTAACATGGGGACGCTAGGACTGATGCCAGGGTGGATGCCAGGGTTAAACAAGGGGTTAAAAGGCCAGCACTGGCACTGCCTGGCACAGCGGATGCCCAGGAACTGTGCTGCGGTGGACAGGGGGACAGTGGTTGTTTGTGGCCGCTCCAGCAGCTCCGGGCAGCGTGACCCTTGTCCTTTCCCTGCCACCAACACAGACCCAGACAGGCCGTCACAGGGGAGGAGCCCAGATGGGCAGTGTGGACCATGCGGGCAGCACACTCAGAGAGAAGCAGTCCCGGCCACCCCTCAATGGACTGGCTCCGGAGAGTGGGAGCGGGGAGGTGACAGGGAGCAGGGGAGCGGGGAGGTGAGGCCATGCCCCTGACGTACCATTCGGGGACTGAGGGTCACTTGGTGAACAGGGTGGGACAGCACTCTTCCTCGTTACAGTCTAGTGCTGAGACTGCACTTGATGCTATAAGAGGGTACGTGCCCCATTTATTGTGCTATGGGGGGCACCCGGGCCAGCTAATACAATAGGCACCATGTTTGGTACCAGGATCTCCGAGCATCCTTAGAAACCCTTGGTGTGATAGGTTGACAGGAGGAGCATCCTTTCTTCTGAGCCTGAGGGACCAGCAGGACAGACACACCAGCCCAGGTGACCTGCGGTGTCCCCGTGGGGGCAGCTGCTAAAGGGCCCACCCCACGCTGTTCCCCAGTCTCCCACGCCGACAGGAGGAGGCCACATAGAAACTTTGGTGCTCGTGGTTCAGAGGGTGAAATCGGGGTGCTTCATGGGGGCTCTGGTCACGGGACCCCACTGTGGAAGTCCACTTGGGCAATGCGCCCAGACCTGGCTGCCAGGGGGCTGAGTCTCTAAGGTTCCGCAGTGAGGAGGGCCTTCGTCCCTCTCATAACAGGCAGTGTAGTGCCAGGGTTGTGAGAAGGCCTCTGGAGCCAAACTTCATTTCTGGACCCCAACTCCTCCACTTACGAGGAAGCCGATCTGGGCCAAGTTCCCTAGGCTCCCTGCGCCTCAGTCCCCGATCTGTAAAACGGGGTTAGCAAGAGCAGCTGCCTCACAGGCTTGGTATGACCAGCCCATCACAGTAACCGGTCCAGCCTCCTCCCCTCCCCCCCCCCGCCCCCCCAGCGCATTTTTGGCTTGCTGTCAACACCCCGTGAGTTTTCACTGGGCCCACTCACCTGTGCCACTGGCCACTATTTTTTTACAAGCAGGAATTTTCTGCCTGTTTCCCCTTACCATTATTTTTGAAATCTATGTTTATTGATTTCAGAGAAGAAGGGAGAGGGAAAGAGAGACAGAAACATCAATGATGGGAGAGAATCATTGATTGGCTGCCTCCTGCACGTCCCCCTACTGGGGATCGAGCCCGCAACCCAGGCATGTGCCCCTGACCGAGCCATCCTGGTCGGGCTCA